TGGGGGCCCCCCACCCCCCGGTCACCTCCTCTCTGAGCCCTCGGCACCCAACGTGGCACCAGGGCTCGGTTGTGGGGGGCTCTTGTGGCACCCCGGGGTGGGGTGAGCCCCGTGGGGCTGCGGTATGTGGGGCAGGAGGGGTAGAAGAATTGGCCCCCCCCACCCCCTAGGGCAGTGGGGCAGGAGAGTTGCCCCATCCCAGGGCAGGAATGCAATGGGGCAGGAGAATTGCCCTATTCCAGGGCAGGGGGACAGGGGGGCAGGAGGGCAGTGGGGTAGGAGTACTGCCCCATTAGGGGCAGGGGTGGGGCAGGAGGGCAATGGGGCAGGAGGGCAGTGGGGCAGGAGAACTGCCCCATTAGGGGCAGAAGAGGAGTAGAGCAAGAGGGCAATGGGGCAGAAGAATTGCCCCATCCCAGGGCAGGAGAACTGCCCCATTAGGGGCAGAAGGTCAATGGGGCAGGAGAACTGCCCCATTAGGGGCAGGAGAGGAGTAGGGCAGGAGGGCAAGGGGGCAGAAGAATTGCCCTATCCCAGGGCAGGGGGATAATAGGGCAGGAGAATTGCCCCATTAGGGGCAGGAGGGCACTGGGGCAGGAGAGGAGTAGGGCAGGAGGGCAATGGGGCAGAAGAATTGCCCCATTAGGGAAAGGAGGGCAGTGGGGCAAGAGGGCAGTGGGGCAGGAGAACTGCCCCCACCCCAGGGCAGAAGGTCAATGGGGCAGGAGAACTGCCCCATTAGGAGCAGGAGTGGGGCAGGAGGGCAATGGGGCAGGAGAATTGCCCCATTAGGGGCAGGAGAGGAGTGGGGCAGGAGGGCAATGGGGCAGGAGGGCAGTGGGGCAGGAGAACGGCCCCCACCCCAGGGCAGAAGGTCAATGGGGCAGAAGAACTGCCCCTCCCGGGGCAAGAGAGCAGGAGAACTGCCCTGGGGTGTGTGTGGGGCAGGACCACCACCCCCCCCCGGCCCGGGCAGCCCCCCACAGCTCTCGGGGTCGCCGTTGCTCCAGGGGAAACCCGTCGGCGAAGTCCCGGCCCCCCCGGAATTTCCCGGGAGGGGTTGGGCTGGCGCCGTTATAAAGCGCCGCCCCCGGTGGGACCGAGCGACGGGACCGACGGACGGACGGAGGGAGGAAGGAAGGAAGGAAGGAACGGACGGACGGACGGACGGACGGACGGTGAGTTGCTGCACCGAGACCCCGACCCGTTCCGGTGCTCCCGGAGCCCCTGAACCGAACGATCCCGACCGGCCCCTTCCCGGTGCTCCCGGAGGAACCTGATTGAATTCATCCCGGTGGTCCCGGAGACCCCACCCGGACTTTCCCCGGTGCTTCCCCGGGAGCCTGAACCGACCCATCCCGGAGATTCCCGACTGGAGCCTTCCCGGTGCTCCCGGGGACCCCGACCGGACTTTCCCCGGTGCTCCCGGAGAGCCTGAACCGACCAATCCCGAAGAACCTGAGCGGACTTTCCCCGGTGCTCCCGGAGACCCCGACCGGACTTTCCCCGGTGCTCCAGAGAGAACCGGACCGGTGCTCCCGGAGACCCCGACCGGACTTTTCCCGGTGCTCCCGGGGAGCCTGAACCGACCAATCCCGAGGAACCTGAACGGACTTTCCCCGGTGCTCCTGGAGAGCCTGAACCGACCGATCCCGGAGACCCCGACCGGACTTTCCCCGGTGCTCCCGGGGATCCTGAACCGACCGATCCCGGAGACCCCGAACGGACTTTCCCCGGTGCTCCCGAGGAGCCTGAACCGACCGATCCCGGAGATCCCGACCGGACCGATCCCGGTGCTCCCGGGGATCCTGAACCGACCAATCCCGGACTTTCCCCGGTGCTCCCGGAGAACAGGACCGGACCAATCCCGGTGCTCCCGGGGAGAACCGACCAATCCCGGAGCCCCCAATCGGACTTTCCCCGGTGCTCCCGGCGGCCTGACCCCCCCCACAAAGCCCCGGTGCCGGTACCGGTGCCCACCCCCGTCGCACCATGAAGCCCCCGGTGCTGCCGTTGGTCCTGTGCGTCCTGGGTGTCATCGCAGGTGAGGGGACA